AAATAGAAATTAATAAGTACTACAATAGCAGGTATTTCAAGTGTTTCTAAATTAAGTTACATTGCATCTGGTTCAATTAATTATTCAAGAAAAATACTCATTCAATAATAAAATAAGAAACAAAAAAAACAAGACATTTAACTGTATGCAACATTTTTAAACTCTTTTTGTATCCATGTACTAGTAATTTTGCCACCTGTCAGTCATTATAATTTCCTGAATGAAGACCGTTCAGTTCTATATAAAAACCTTTTTCAAGGTTTTGCTGACAACTTGGTTAACAATGCAAGTATGTTTTACTTTTGACATTAGATACAAGTTTCAGTAAGCTGAATGTTAATGTATTAAGTTTTAATGGGGTATTTCTTTTTGTGCTGCATTTAATAAGAAAGGTTTCTAATGATGGCATTCTTAGCAGGTATTTTTTTATCCCTCACCATGAAACGTCAACTCTTGTTTGAAGCAAAATCAGAAAGTCCACAGAAACTTTAGAAGTTCCTTGTTCTCTCGTACACTAAATGGGATTTTCCCTTCTGAGCCTTGCAATCACATTTTTTGCCTGTTATTCATAATATTTGAATTTAAGCTTTTTGAATGAATATTGATTAGTAATGTTGATAAGCATAAGTGAGCTGAAGTAATTTACTTAAGTATTTGAACAACCCATATAACCCTATTAAACATTTTTATTAACATTCCAACCACAAGGTGGACAGTTTTGCAGGTAAGCAGCGCTTACATTTTCTTTGGAAATGTAAAAATCTGGTTTGTCATTGTTAATTTCCCCTAGACATTTCCAGCTGTTTCCCCTGTAGGCATCGATGACAAACACTGCCATGCACAGAAATTGATTTTTGTATGTAATGGTGACTGAATAAAACAAGTGCTGTAGTCTAATCTCTGAAGTCATCCCCTCCTCCTCCACACTTCCTGCTGACAAAACCCCACCATTCGTCATTTTCAGGTTACTTCCAAGTTGCAGTAAGAGCTCTCCCTTGGGTTAGATGAGTTTGCCACATAATCACTTGAAACAATTACAGTTCCACTGAATGCAGGAGATTGTCATTTAGCACCCCCCTCCCCCCAGTCTTCTCGTTACACCTCTTAATAGTGACGTGACATGTGGCCAAGTATGGTGACCCATACTCAGAATTAGTGCTCTGCATTTAACCCATCCAAAGTGCACACACACAGCAGTGAACACACACACACTGTGAACACCCACCCAGAGCAGTGGGAGCGTAGTGGTAACATAGGAAGCCGTCACCTCCAGTATCTGACCTTTTGCCCTTCCGAGAACAGATTTGCACCCTTAGGCCATGCTCCACTGTTGGCATCATTCGCTCTCTTGCTGAGAGGAGGAATTAGACCACAGAAAGCATTCAACTGTAGTGCTCAGAGAGAGTAAGCACTGACTTCTACCTGCTAGCGGTATTTAAAAAAAAATACCCCACGCTGTAGCCTCCCTCATAGTATGGTGTTGCAGTTTCAAAATAGCAGGTTTACAACTGAAAAGCAACATAGTGTGTTGTTTCTCCTTTTCTTTGTTACTCAACGCTTGTGCACTGGAATTACCTGACTGTTAAATCAGTGGGGCAGTGTAGCAGGTTCCAGAATTTCACTAGTGTGATAAAAGTACCAGATTGCAGATGCTATTTACAATACTAAAAGTATAATACTGTATATAAGGGCTGTCAAGCAATTAGTTTCTAATCAAATTTATTACATGTATCAATTTGGGCCAGTAAAAGCACGACGGACCTGGCTCTACGCGCCACCAAGACCACCGCCCAGGCGATTGGGAGATCGATGGCCAGGCTTGTGGTGCTCGAGCGCCATTTATGGTTGACGCTGACGGAGATGAAGGATGCTCGGCCAGACACTACCCTCTTCCTAAGCGCCAGGGACCCCGACCCAAGATTGCGTTGGACCCAGCGCCTCAGGCGCTGATCCACGAGACCGGAAGAGGATGGGGTCAGATCTCGCCACGGCCGGACCGCCTCTCAAGCAGCCTCTGTTACACCTCTTGACACCCCGTTCAGCTCCGGGTACAGAGGGAAATGTGTTTTGTGTAAATAATAATAAAACACAAACATTTTCAAAAAGAGAGCAAACTTCCTCTTCCATCACTCATACGTGTTCTGCCCCCATGCGGCCAGTCACCCGAGTTAATTCAACCCCTCGTCATGCGGGCCGAGGCCTGGCAGGCCATCCCCGGGGTGTCGGATGGTTATGGGGATAATAAAGGAAGGATATTCACTCCAATTCGCTCGAAGACCCCCGCGCTTCAGCGGCAAAAGGAGCTGTGGAAAGGGTTCCTCCAGCCCAGAGCGAGTCAGGCCTTTACAGCCGTTACTTCCTCGTCCCTAAAAGAGATGGTGGCCTCCGGCCCATCCTCTATCTCAGACACCTGAATCGCGCCCTCATAAGGAGGTCGTTCAGGATGATTACACTGAAACAGATCCTCGCGCAAATTCGCTCGAGAAACTGGTTCTTTTCCCTGGACCTGAAGGATGCATACTTTCACATCCAGATAGCCCCTCGTGGTTTTTAGCACATTATTTATTGGGTTGTTGACTGGCCCAAGTTAAAGAGCTCAGCCCTAAGTTAAAGTTCAAATTTGAGTTTTTGACCCTAGATATGGCTCTGATTCCACCTTCAATTAAATGGTAGAGAAAAGTCAATGGGATTTTATGGAACTGGTAGTCTCTCCTGATGTTTTGAGGTTAAAAATGTTGCGAGATGGCTTCAATACCCAACTTTAGTATGGAACGAGGTACGACTGAATTAAACCTGTAACGCTGTTGATACCCGACTGACAGGCGCAGGTGCTGCTTTTGCCCATTTTCCTAAACCCTGTGTCTGCTGAAAAATGGTTTAAGTCTTAGCATGATTCATCTTATTGATAATCACCCACATAACCTGACTTTGTGTGTAGGTTTAAGTAGGGGACTAGCTAACGGATTAAGGCTGATCGCTGCGAGAACGCATGCGCTAGATACTAATGAGCTTCAAGGACACATGTCATTTCCTCCTTATTACCTTCTGCTTGACTCATTGCAAGCCTGATACATAGAAGAGAGAGAGAGAGAGCGTGCTCACACCGGCCCGTACCCCATACTATGAGTTGATTAGTTAATTTGAATTCGTTTCAGAGTGCGTGCGTGCATGTGTGTGTGTGTGTGTGTGTGTGTGGGTGGGTGGACGTGGCAGGGAACAATTGGTGCATTTTCATTCCTCTGCTGTGTGGCACCCAGACAGGTCAAACAGTCCCTGAATACAATGAATGGAGCTTAAAATAGGTTATATTTTCTCTTTCGCACAATTCTAATATAAGAAAGAAGTGGGAAAAAGCCTCTCTGGCCTCTTGCGTTTGACTTCCCAGTCTATGCTCGAAACCACGTCTGACCCTGAGAAGACAATACAGTTTGCTGAACTGCCTGGCTATTAAAGCCAACTAGGGCACAAATTAGTCAATGGAAACACTTTGTATTTTTATTGTTCTTCCCCCATAAACTTATGAATGTGTAAACTGAACAGCGAAATTAAAAGTCATGCCTAAAGGGTGTCCATACCACTGTGGGTGTAAGGTTAAAAATGACCTCATGAGCAAAGGAAGAAATTATTCTCACATGCTAATGAGAGGATCATGTTTGGAAGCATAATTTACATTATATATTATAATAATCTCCACAATGAACTTTATATAGCACTTTTATATTTCACTTTTCTACAGAGTTGCTGTTGCTGTTCAAATGCTTGGGGTCAGTAAGATTTTGTTTTTGAAAAGTGTTAAGACTTTAGAATTACTTTACCAACACTTTAGGCTTGTTAAAAATTGATAAAAAGTGAGAGTAAAGACTTTGCCACAAAGGTGAATTTCAAATAAATTGATTTTTTTTAAACTTTCTATTAATCAAAGAATCCATAAACTTGTATCATGGTTTCCACAAAAATATTAAGCAGCACAACTGTTTTCAACATAATAATCAGCACATTAGAATGTTTTTTGAGGAATAATGTTCCATTGAAGTAATGACTGTTAAAATTCAGCTTTGCCATCACAGAAATAAATTACATTTTAAAATATATTAAAATGGAAAACAATTATTTAAAATTATAATAATATTTCACAGTATTAGTGTTTTTATCTTTTTAATCAAGTAAATGCAGCCTTGGTGAGTGTAAGAGATTTGAGAATTAAAAAAAAAAAAATGTATCAACCCCTAACTTTTGAATGGTAGCGAATATACATAATGCAAATCAATAGTTTAAATCATCAGAATTTAAGGCAACGTGCAAATTGTATGTTTAATCTCTAAAACAGCAGCAGACCTCTCCCCAATAAGTTGCAGGATTTAAAGTATCATAGCATAAACAGTGCAAGAAATTAGGTGCTGAGGCTCATAAATGAGGTGTTAAAATCTAACAAATCTATCAATTAAAAAGAATTGAGGTTGTACAAACCAAAATGTGTTCTGTATTAATATAGCTTTAGATAAAACTTATGTTGTCAACATCTATTTGACAATCATATACTTAAAGAGATAGTTCACCCAAAAAAGAAAATTCTGTCATCATTTACTCACCCTCATGTCGTTCCAAACCTGTAGGAGTTGCTTTCTTATGTTGAACACAAAAGAAGATATTTTGAAGATTGCTGGTAATCAAACAGTTGGTGGTTGCCATTGACTTTCATAGTAGGAAAAAAAAATACTATGGAAGTCAATGGCAACCACCAACTGTTTGATTACCAGCAATCTTCAAAATATCATCTTTTATGTTCAACATAAGAAAGCAACTCCTACAGGTTTGGAACGACATGAGGGTGAGTAAATGATGACAGAATTTTCTTTTTTGGGTGAACTATCCCTTTAATTATGAGGAATTTCACAATTGTAATAATTGAATACTTGCATGCATGCAGTCATTGTGGTGATTCTGAACAAGTGCTTGTTAATGGTTGAATTGAATTAAGACTGAATCCTTTGTGGTTACAGGAGCAAGCAGTGCCTCTCCTGTAGTGTGGATGAGGGAGTCATGGCAGACCACACCTCCCCACTGGAGTCCGGCCAGCTGCTCAGCCCAGACATCCCAATGCTCACCTCCCCGCCTCCACCGCCGCACCCGCCCAACATCGTCAACGGAGACGGACCACAACAGGTAGGATAAATCAGCATCGTTTCTTCGTGCTCACTTGTGTGTTCTCTGTCAAGTCCTTAAGCTATGTTCCGCAGAAAAAGCAATTTTCTACCCAGCAGACTGCTGAAGTTCTGCTGAAATAATTTCTCAAGGCAAACTCACTTATATGGTTCTGTTGAACCCAGGAGAGCAAGCTGAGCCGGGTCTGTCTGTTGATAATAATGATAACATATGAGAGAGTGTATATCAAAATTAATACATTTTAGTAAATTGTAGTAAAACATTTAAAAATGTATAAAATGGCATGCTGGTACTTTGTGCCCTGATAATTATGGAGCTGTGACACTTCCACAACTCACTTACTCTGAAATAACTTTTCAACTTTATTTTCCTTATTTGCTGCTGAGCTCAGAAACACTTTCTCTAGGGATGCCCAGTCAATCACTTCCAATGTCTTGATCGTGATCACATTTTGATGGCAAAAAAAACATGAAAGTACTCTTAAGACTACAGAGTTACTTTTGCAGTAGCTTCAAGAGTCAAGAAACAAATGTATTATCCAAATGCATTTAATTCAAAATAAATGGAGCATAGAGCAGTATCGGCAAAAACTGATTTGGCAGTTGAGAAAGACTTGTGAGAGGCATGACAAATAATGAAAATTTTATTTTTGGTGTCCACAGCATTTTAGTCTCCAGCGTATGGAAGTAAAATAATGATACAGCAGATTACAAGGTGGAGTATAATTCAAAGAGATTTATTAAACAACTCCTGACCAAACAGCATTGCACCAGTTTAATACACAATTTTTCTACACTCTTTTCAAGTCTCCTGCCATTAGCTTCTGCTGTTACCTAATATCACATGTGTTCCTCTCATTATCTCCCATTATTTCCTAAAATTATCAGCTAATAAGTAATATTACCAGCATCCAACAAAATAAAAAGACAAGGAATATAATTTAAATAAGATATTTAAATATGCAGTATTTAGTTTTTATGATAAATTCATGAATAAAATAGTGCTGGGCAATGATTAATCGTGATTAATCGCATCCAAAATAAAAGTTATTGTTTATATAATAAATGTGTGTACGTACTGTGTGTATTTATTATGTATATATAAAGTCACACACATACAGTATATATTTAGAAAATATTTACATGTATTTACATGTTTATATATTTATGTTCATATAATCTATATTATATAAATATATTTAATATATAAACATAATATATTTTTCACACATACATATATATGTATATGTGTATATATATATATATATACAGTGGGTACGGAAAGTATTCAGACCCCCTTAAATTTTTCACTCTTTGTTATATTGCAGCCATTTGCTAAAATCATTTAAGTTAATTTTTTTTCCCTCATTAATGTACACACAGCACCCCATATTGACAGAAAAACACAGAATTGTTGACATTTTTGCAGATTTATTAAAAAAGAAAAACTGAAATATCACATGGTCCTAAGTATTCAGACCCTTTGCTGTGACACTCATATATTTAACGCAGGTGCTGTCCATTTCTTCTGATCATCCTTGAGATGGTTTATATATATATATATATATATATATATATATATGTATGTTAATTTTTTTTTTACATATATTTTTAAATATATACATGCATGTGTGTGTGTGTATTTATATATACATTATAACCTATATACACAGTACACACACATATGTTATGTACAAAAAAACTTATTTTGGACACGATTTATCATTGCCCAGCACTAGAATAAAATTATAAATGCTACTACTACTAATAATAATAATAACAAAAATGGCAAAATAATAAATACACAAAACTATGACACCATATGGTCAGAGAACTGCAGAGGATTGAATGAAAAGCTAAAAATGAAATCCTAAAAATGTATCACCATTGGGGTAATGGCCCAAAATAAATACATTTGATCTTCAATATGGATTGTTTGGCCTTTTTTTCGGTCGCTGCACTGCAATTGTTCTTGTGATATTAGTATGCTTAAAGTGTTACTATACCGTCATCGTACATGAGGAGTGGCGGCATCAGCTCTTGTGGCTCTGGCCAGTCCTTACGTCACTGACCCTGACCCAGCACAGAGACGTGTGATAGTGGGAGTAAAGGCCATGGAGAGGAGCTGTCCATCCGTCGCTGCTCCCTAAGGCTGTCATGGTGAGAGTCAGTGGTCGTGACGAGGCTGGGTGCCACTGCTGTCACTTTCATGGACGTCAGACTGATTTCTCTTAAGTGACCGTGACTGCCATTCCCAAGAAACTGATGCATTTTCACCTTGTTTGAATGTCTAATATTTTTTTTGTTTTGTTTTTTGGAAGCTGAATTTCACTCCGTCTTATTGGTAAATACCATTAAATTGCAATGAGTAATTGCACTCTTATGTACACTTGTGGCTTGGCAAATTATAGTGCACTCATAAGTGTTAACCACTGTTTCCGACTCTTAAAGATAAAAACCATCAAGTCTGAAGAATGCTGGAAGATAAGGACGTTTTACTCATCCACTGTGTAGTGGAAGTCTATCTAGGCTCGGCAAGGGCGTGTTGTTATTAGCGTGTTATTGACTTTTCAACTCCCTGCAGCGATCACCTGACAAGCCCTTCCCAATCATCCTTATGGTCCGCTGAGCACTTAAAGAGGCAGAAAATGCATACGCACCCTCCCCTGCTCCAATCTTCCATTCCTATGACCCTTTTCATCCCCGTTCATTTTTATCACCTCCTGCTTGCCTCATTCATAAAACCACAGGTTGTGGAAGTGCATTGCCAAGCAAACTCATTTGTAGAAATGGCTTCCGTATAGTGTGGAATCCGTATGATGCCTTTTGCTTTTTTTAAGCCTTATCCTACTTTTCTTGGTGTCTAGACAGTGGAAAGCAAGATTAGGATGCAGGCGCTTTCTTCCATTAGGGAACAGGCAGATGTTGTCTGTCAAGATCAAGATATGCAAGAGATAGCATGATGGGTTTCATGTCACGCCTCTACAGCAGTTCAAGAATACAAATGAATCTTTACTGGTGCGAAAAGCCAGGACTAGCACTGGCTCAGTGTTAATTACCACGCAAACGTGTGCCCGTCTATGTGATTGTTTGTGCCCTTGCCATTTTTCTTCTTATGTGGCTTTTTACGCCTACAACTAATCACGACCGTGGCGCCTCTCCAGGTGTGCGTTTGATGTTCGCAATCAGGGAGAGCTCAAGGTAAAGTAAGTGTAACCTAAGTCACTCTTGGTGTTAGCTGGTCTGCGTGTCAGAGGAAAAGTGCTTGTGCAAGAGAGACTGGGTAAACGTGAGAATACGAAACTGACAGCAGGAGTTTTCTCTCTTAGCCCTGAGTCTCCGTGACCCGGACCGAGTGACACATCCTGGCGAAAACAGTAGTGACAATATGCCATGATGACTTATGCCTCTGACCTGACCTTTCCCACTGGACTTTCACTCAGCAACCGGGTTCCCTCCTCCCTCTTCCTCTGTGCCGAGTAGCACTTGTGCATTTGACATCACAGTTGAAACGAGGGAAGCTAAATATCAGTGTGGCATCCTCCTGGCAACACCGTTGCTGCTCTTTCATGAAAGCAAAGTGGAGTGCGTGCACAATGATTTACAGTTCCTATTCATTTTGTCTCTCCTGCCTCGCCGCTCAGACTATGCCACCTATGTATCTCCTCCATCCAGGTGCCCAACTGTTCTCTTTATGGTAAAGATTTGGTGAAACCCTACTTCCTCCCTCCTCCCTGCAGCTGTCTGTAAGCACTGATGTCTGGCCTTTTACGCTTTCATTTATTTGCCTTTTCCTCCCTATGCCTCGGGTCGTTTCAGGTGTTTGTGTTCTTCAAACACTTTGGTTTTATGTGCACAAGGCTTTTTGAAGCAGCAGTCAGGCTTATCTTAAGAGCAAAGACTCTAAGCAGGGCAGAATAGGCCACTCTGCAGGAAGTCTGTGCTGGATAAGAACAGAGTTGTGTTAGTTGGGCCAAAAAGCCCCTCGTATAAATGGCTTTAAATCGACCAGAAAGCACTGATGTGTTTTTGATTCACTTTCCTTTTGATCTTGTACACTCTTTCTTGTTAACATGGCACTTGCCGCAGAGGAAAACTAACCAGGAAGGCAGAGTGAAAGCTTCTTTTGCATAAAGCTGACAAAACGTTTGCTTTTATTGATTCGTAAATGCAATTAGTGCTGTTCCAATACAATATCGATGTTATTTGTTCTCAGATTTTTCTTTATTCGTACATTCATATCATTTACTCTACAGTTCAGTTTGTAAAGAAATAAAGAAGGGGATAACTCTGAAACTGACATTTCCCAGTCAGCGTTAATTATACGAATCACAGTTCTGGACAAAAATGAATCATGCTAGAGAGATGCCGAAACTGATTATGAAGGTTCAGTCTTTCTCACCGAAACTCTGGGCCTTTCTTCAGTTTTATTCTTGATCCAATTACAAAATCACTGTGCATCACAATGTGTATCATAGTTCCAACCGTAAATTATTATAATTTTTTTTGTGTGAATGCATTAGTCTGCCTAATTAAAGTGCTTTTTAGCACACAAAGAAATGACCCCCACCATGATGTGGATAATGAGGCTCTTTTATATTGAGTGCGTCAGTGGGGTGATATGAAAGTGAATAACCCCCACCCCACGGCTCCGCTTAACGCCATCCTGCCGTGAGGAGGTGGACTGAAGACATAACACTGGGCCTAAGGCCAGAGCTGTGGGTGGATTCATGTGTAGTCGCCGTGATACCACGCAGTGCCTGAGTTACGGCCGTTCATTGAGCCGTGCCCTCTGAAACCATAAAATGGCTGAACCAAACATTAATCTTTCCCTTTGTCCCCAGATGTTACTCCTCCCTGTGTTCATTGGTGAACTAAGCAATGTTTCCATAGCGATGAGTTTCTGTCTTTCTCTCTCCCTCTCTCTAGTGGGTGTCTCACTTATCACCTAATAGGATAAAAAAATGGACAATTCTTTGTAGAGCTGACAAAGTCATCTCA